TTGAATTAAGTTTTCTGAGCACTAAAATCATGTGTTGAAAGTTCTGATATACATTTCTTCCCAAAGTGAACAATTTCTTTTTAGAACAAAACAATTCCCATTTAAAATTCATGCCCAAGAAAGAAAAGAGAAAATTATATAACTCAATAAATACTTTTGTGTGGACTGAAAAATTTATGTTTTATGACTCAGTGCTATGATTTTTTATAGTCCTATGGATATAATAATGACCACACTGATAAGGAATACTTTGGGAATGTTGGAAGAGTTCAAGCACTTGTCTTAGTTTACTAAAGATGCCATAACAAAATAACAAAGTAGTCTAAGTAACTTAAAACAGCAGGAACTCATTTTCTCACATTTCTGGTTGAAAAGCCCAAATCAAGATGTCCATACACCACCCTGTCTCTGAGGGTATAGGGAGAGTGCTTCCTTCTTTCTAGTTTTTGATAGTAGCTAGCATCCTTTGTGTTCCTCTGCTCATAGGTGCATCACCTCAGCTTTTGCCCCTGTTGTCACATAGCCATCTGTCATCCTCCGGCATTGTCAGATCTTATAGGATGTTAGTCACATAGAAGCAAGGGTCCAAACTACTTCAGTCTAACCTCTGTCTAGTTAGTTATTGTTATAATGACCCTAGTTCCAAATAATGTCATATTATAAGGTGCTGTTGTTTAGGGCTTCACTACATGAATTTGGATGTGTATGTGTGTGTGTGTGTGTGTGTGCGTGTGTGTGTGTGTGAAGGCACAATTCAACACCAGCCATTCTAAACTCTATATTGTAATAAAACAAAATATCTCTTTCATGGAAAATTTTAAAAAGAGCAAAGAGAGAAATAATAATTATGAGGAGGCTTATATCCAAGCTATAATAAGAAGATGTGAATGATGTTTAAAATTATTGTTTGAGAAACACTTGTCTTTCCTTTTTTTGCTGTACAGCTACTTTAGAATCAAGACCAACAAGATGTTTAGTCTAAAAATTCTAGAATTCTAACTAACGTGTTGTGTGTGACATACTAGATATCTAAATTTAGAAATTGTCCTGCAGTTCAGTACTAGCTAAAATAATCATGTCACTTTGCTAAATGTAATATGAGATCCTATAGATGTTTTAAATATTTTCCTTTATTCCTATATGTTTGCAGTACATGATGTTTTTACATTCATGATGGGGAGTGGGAACACGTATATAATGCAGCTGATTTTTTCAGCCCCTTTCCCTTCCTACCCACTTCCCTCCCTCCACCTCTAAACCTCTTTTCCCATTTTCATTCTTGTCATTATTATTCTTAGCTCATGTTTATGACATACAGTGCTTATATTCACTGAAGCTATTTGGTTCCTATACATGACATATCTCAATTCTACTTGTCCTTTTCTCACCCTTCTCCCTTTACTCTCAGTCTCTTGAATCCCTTCCATTTGCCACAGATTGAAACCCTTATTTCTTTCTATCCATCTGATAGTATTCTCTTTGTTTGTACTTTGGCTTACTCAAATGAGAGATACCATAATTTTTTAAACTTGTGTGATTTATTTTTT